CAAGGTTTCTTCCTTCACTGCCGTCGGTACCTACCGTCCCGGACCTTCCACTGATGAGTACAATGGTGACATCCAGGTATGTATGCTATTATCGTAGACACCTGAACTTTCAAGCTGACTTGGCGTAGGGACTGACCTTCGTCACGTTTGACGAGACATCTTCGACCCTGAACGGCGCCACTTCTCGAATCTTTGTCGGAACTGCCGACAACACGACTGCTTCCGTCTATGTATCCAACGATGCCGGCGCTACTTGGAGTGCCGTCACTGGTCAGCCGGGCCGATACTTCCCCCATAAGGGTAGGATCCAGCCCACCGAGAAGGTCAGTCATCAACATCGGATCTGATGTTTGACTTGCTAATGAAACCAAAGGCTCTCTACATCAGCTACTCTGACGGCACTGGTCCTTACGACGGTACCTCCGGCTCTGTCTGGCGCTACGACATCACGGCTGGTACATGGAAGGACATCACTCCTGTCCCCGTGGGCTCCGACCTGTACTTTGGCTTTGGTAAGTACTGTCATTCGGCGCCGCCTCTTTGCGTGCTTTGTTTTCTCTCTTGTGCTGACATCTTGCCCAGGTGGATTGAGTGTCGATATGAAAAAGCCGGGCACACTGATCGTCGCCACCCTCAACAGCTGGTGGCCAGATGCCCAGCTCTTCAGGTCTACTGATTCCGGCACCACTTGGAAGAAGATCTGGGAGTGGGCAAACTACCCCGAAATGACTCTCGGTTACACCCAGAGCACCCCAAAGGTAGATCCCTAGTTCTGAAGATTCGGAATCAGACATTCACAATGCTCCAAGCCCTGGACACTCGCTGACCTGCTCTAGGCCCCATGGATCAAGACCAACTTCCTGGATACCGATACCAAGGATCTCGGGTGGATGATCGAGTCCCTGGAAATCGACCCCACGGACTCCAACCACTGGCTCTACGGAACCGGACTCACAATCTTCGGAGGACACGATCTCACTAACTGGGACACTGGCGCCAAGGTCACCATTCAAGCCCTCGCAGACGGCATCGAAGAGATGGCTATCCAAGAGCTCGCCAGCGCTCCCGGCGGCTCCGAGCTTCTCGTCGCCGCCTACGACAACAACGGTTTTACCTTTAAGACCAAGAGTGTCCTTGACACATCCCCTCAAACGACCTGGGCGAACCCGATGTGGGCCTCGAGCGTTGGAGTCGACTACGCCGGCAACAAGGTAGCTAACGTCGTCCGCGTAGGAAACACCGCGGGCACACAGCAACTGGCAGTTAGCTCCGACGGCGGCGCAACCTGGAACATCAACTACGCCGCCGGCACGACCCAGTACGGCGGCTCGGTCGCCTACTCCGCCGACGCCGACACCATCATATGGTCCACCGCCACCCTCGGGGTCCAGCGCTCCCAGAACCAAGGCTCGCTGACGACTATCTCCAGCATCCCCGCCGGCGCCATCATCGCCAGCGACAAGCGCAACAACACCGTCTTCTACGGCGCCTCCGGCTCCAGCTTTTACCGCTCCACTGACACCGGCGCCACCTTCTCCACCTCCGGCACCCTCTCCGGCGCCACCGAGATCCGGCATGTCGAGGCCCACCCGGCCAAGGTCGGCGACGTCTGGGTCTCCACCAACGTCGGCATCTTCCACAGCACCGACTACGGCTCCACCTTCTCCCTCGTCTCAAGCACCCTCACCAACACGAACAAGGTCGCCCTCGGCAAGGGCTCCGGCAGCAACTGGAACCTCTACGCCTTCGGCACCGGGCCCGCCGGCCGCCGCCTTTACGGCAGCGCGGACCTCGGTGCTTCCTGGGTCGACCTTCAGGGCACGCAGAGCTTCGGGGCCGTCGACGGCGCCAAGCTCGCCGGCTCCGCGAACGAGGAGAACCTTGTCTACGTCGGCACCAACGGCCGCGGCGTCTTCTACGCGTCCGGCGCGATTGCTTCCTCCGGTGGTGGGTCGACCTCTGCAGCTTCGACATCGACTAACAGGGCGACAAGCAGCAGCTCGACGGTCCGCGTGACCTCTTCGACATCTTCCGTGAGGGCGACGACGACGTCGACCTTGGCGACTTCCACGAGGACCAGCTCCGCGCCTGCGGCTACGGCGACGAACCTGGCAAAGCAGTATGAGCAGTGCGGCGGGCAGGGGTGGACGGGCCCGACGCAGTGTGTGTCGCCGTATGTGTGCACGAAGGCGAACGATTGGTACTCGCAGTGTTTGTAAGAGGGCTCTAGGGAGTTGTGTGTGTTGCTCTTGATGGGCGTAATGAGACTGAACCGAGGACTCAAAGTCGTGTTTGGCCATGGAAGATGCGAAGTTCATTAGCTGAAACGTACTTTCGTGCCTACCTTGCGTACTGATCAGAACCGGATCGCCGAGTCATTGTTGACTTTTGTTGCAGACATTTGAAGAAGTCCCTGTATTGCCGCATGTGCCCCTGATTGGAACCCTCAACTCTCGATTTAGATCGGATATCTTGCGTCGACGAAGAGAGAAGATAGAATGCTCCTGTCTGATGTTGTGTGCTCGACACGTCGCCTCTGGTCCAGGTTCCACATGTGTTGAAAGAATATGCTCCTGGAATAGAGTGAAAAGACTTTCCGCCAGGTCCGGAAATCATCCGTCCTGGGCGCGCGCCAGAGGCCTTATTAGTAAACACCTCAAGTACCGGCATGAGTGGCGTTGCGTTGCGAATGGCATGCTTTGGTGACGTATAGCAGAAATAGAAGTCGGAATGATGGTGCATGATTGATTATGAAATTGCGCTCTTTTTATCTGTGACAACTGGTAGCCTTGAGATGAACGGCACTCGAGTGACCACTACGTAGATTTAGAGTTAGGTGTATGTATAGATCATTATTCAGGGGTAACGTGAGCTGCCCCAGTTATGGAGTAGTCCGCGAGCGGCCTTACTTGGCGTTGTCTGAGTTGATTGGCCTTGAGTCGGGAGAAAGTATAAACCAAGCCACTGGGCCGATCATAATAAGAGCACAAAGGGGCTGGAGATACAACTATCATTGCTGTTAAAGGTCTGATCTTTATTGATACGTAAAGCCTACATGTGGATCCTTCTGGGGAACCGGAGCATTTCTCTAGAAGTCTCCGTTCTCATTAGAGCGATAGTGGTGATATCGTTTTATCGCCGGAACGACCGGTGCGCCCGATAAGCTCTTCTGTAAGGCAAATGGCGTCAAGGTGTCTAACTGGACCATGGAAATGGCAGTGAGCTTGAGAAAGAGCTTAGTGAACATGAACGGCGCTGGCGCTGCGCGCATTCTCCTTCGATATCCAGGCCGCCCGTCTGTTGCGAATGCGAGCAGGTCAGGGGCTAACTGTATCAAAACCTAAAAAGCAAAAGCTTCGGTAACGCCGAACGTGTAGTCACTATCCCCCGTTCTGCACAGCCCTGCCTTAACGTCTGAAACGTTAATTATATTATTGCATGTCAGTAGACCTCTGTAAAGACGCCGCACAATTAGGCCGAGAACTATTATGAGAACTCTAAAGTGTAGTAGTTGTTCTCTTGTCAGGTGAAGAAGGCATTTGTATTAAAGCCAACAGCCCGTCGCTTCTCTCAAGCCATTTCTTTTGCCACTCATCCCGCATCATTCATTCACTCAGCGTTTCTTCAAATCAACTCAACTTTCTTTCAATACCAACTACTCTCTTTTTCTTCAAAATGCGTTTCGCTGCTGCGTTCGGACTCTTTTCCCTGGCTGCCGCCCTGCCGGCCACCCCCGAGGGTAACGGCGCCGCCGCCATCGAGTCGAGAGCGACCCCGATGGCCGGAAGCAGCATCTACTCCTGGCCCGCGACCACCAAGCCCATGGATATCGAGTTCTACACGGGCGCCAAGCTCACCATCAAGTCGCTGGATTTGACAAACGTCCAGGTCGACTGCAGCAACAAGGCCGACCAGAACGCCGAGTTCATTATCACAGACAACGAGAGCAAGGCCGTGATCTACTCGTACAAGGTCAAGGTTGGCGAGACCTGTAACTCTGTTTCATTCCCTAAGGGCGAGAACGCGATCATGATCACTACGAAGATGGGATACTTCTAGATGATCGGTGGTTCGGGGAGATGAGCTGGAGACGGAGGGCTGTTCTGCTCTGGAAGAAATCAGGTTCAATAGATGAAGTGTTTTTGCATTTCTACATGTCAATTCAAAGCGTTGTGCCTGCGCATTTAAGCCTCGCTTCCTTGGCGTGAATCGGTTATGGTTTGCCGTTTGAGCAACTTCTTGACATTTTCATCTCCAAATGATCCCTCCATGAGTATTGAAAACTATGATCAAGTCTTAGAAAGAATGTTGTTCTATTGCAGTTGCAGTGTGCTATGGAACAGATGGGACGGTTTGCGTGTATATATGTCATCTCTGTAACTCGGGCAATTTAGGATTCTTTTCACCGCTGACCCTTGGGGACCATGTTCATCAAATGAAAATACTGGTCCTTGTCCAATATTCTCACACTCGTGATATGGAATTGTCCCTTCTATCATTGGACGTGCAGGTGTATATCAAGTATTCGTCAATTAAATACAAATTTAAGCAGGAGAGCTGATAGTTTTGGTTGGTCTTCCTCGCCACAAGTCATTATCTTAACTACAACTAGAGTAGTACTGACCTTCATCCTTCGGCTGGTATTACCTTGGGTGGCTATAACTTCAGCCGTTCATGCGACTGCAAACCCCTCACACCATTGCGGACGAATCCCCCAATTCTTAACAGAAAGTCTATCAGGACTACCGCCCAGCTAATGCATATCAACTGACCCAGACTAAGACTCACTGGTATTTAGGGTCGTCGGCCTCCTGCAGTAGTTCCTTTCAGCTTCAAGAATGCACATCTGACCCAACCGCTCGATGTATCGATAATTAATCGCAAGACTCCCAACGGTAAACAATGACAAACATGATATAATAAAACTTCCAGCTCTTAATCGCGCAGTCAACGCGCTTTTATCATCTTCAATTGTCAAGAATTTACAAGCAGGTTACACCATGCTTCCAAAATTCGGTGTCGAAGAGACCGCGCGTCCGGCATCTCCTATTGCACACGATCACGATGGACGCGAGACAGCTTCAGACGAGCCCTCCCTGAGGAGCTTCCATCGCGCTACCTACACTGGTGCCCTACTTTTCAATCTCGTCTCCTTCATACTTCCAGCTCTTTACGCCACCCTGTCCAAATTATGGGTCGCCAACATCGACTTTTCGCTCGTAGTCACCACAGACGCATACACGTACATCGGCGTCGTTGCCGAGGTTCTCAACGAAGGGCTGCCGCGGGCAGCATGGGTTATAATCGGCGATAAAGCGTCTCGAACCCTCGCACAGCGGTTGCAGCTCACGCACACACTCATCATCTTCCAGTCCGTCCTCGGCTTCATCATCAGCGTCGTCTTCGTGGCCGGCGCAAGCACTTTTTCGAAGGGCTTTGTACCTGTCGAAGTCCGCGAAGTTAGCATCACCTATGTGCGAATCGGAGCTTTCAGCGCCTTCCGCAGCGCGATCGAGACTGCAGTTTCCTCAGCCACAAGAGCGCTTGACCGGCCTGATGTGCCACTCATAATAAGCTCAGTCAAATTTGCGGTCAACATCGTCTTGGATCTTTTAATTATCTCCAAGGTCCATGTCGGATCCCATAAGAATACAGTGAACATGCAAGCTGGTATTCAGTTAGCGTGTAACCTCGCGTCAGCTCTGATCGGCCTGGCCTATTTTCTCTGGAGAAACGCCATGCCTTTGCGCAGAAATAGGACACACGAGCTACCTGTATTGGAGACCGCTTGACCAAGCCCCAAGACACTTATTATTCTCTTGCGTCCTGGTGTCCTGACCTTCATTGAATCAGCAGTTAGAAACGCGTTATACCTCTGGCTTGTCAGCAACATTGTATCAATGGGAAGCACATACGCGACGGCTTGGGGCGTCTTCAACACCATCAGATGGGGTCTCATTATGGTACCGGTCCAAGCACTTGAGCAAACCTCTCTGGCCTTTGTCGGCCATGCATGGCGATCTTGGAGACGAGCCATAGGCATCGAAAACCTCCAACCAAAGGTAAAGAAGACGAATATTGTCGCCATCGCCCGTCCAGCTCTTCTCTTTTTTATTATTGCAGTCATAATCGAGGTCCCAATGTGCCTCTTCCTGACATATTTCGGAGCCCGCCCTTTCGCCAGATACCTCAGCGGCTGAGACGAGGTTGCGGACGTGACGGCGATGATGTGGCGGACGATCGACTGGTGCTACATCTTCTATGCTATGTCTACGATGTTGGCAACGGTCTTGCTTGCAACGCGTCCTCGGTGGTACCTCTGGCAGAGTCTGGCCAGTAACTTCCTCTATGTTTTACCCTGGGCGATTGTGTGTCAGGCAGCGAGCCTCTCGGCTGACCGGGCTTGGACTTACCATAGTCTTGTCTTTGGTGGAAGTCTTGTGTTCAGCTTTGTTGACATTCTGATTGTGGATACGCTTTGGGTTTGGACTTTGACGACGGGGGGATGAAGCTTGACAAGTTCAGGGGATGGACTGTGAGTTCACTCTCGCTAGAGCCTTCGGTTGAAGCTTGTTCATGTTTCGTTTCAATTTACAAGCTTATTGCAATCTTTGAGACTAATAATTCGTACGCCCTAATTGGCGTCTAATCTGCCGACGTTATCATCCGCATCGTCTTCGTGGCTGTTGCGAGCGCTTCGCAAACCTCGCTATTTAACATGGACCACCGGATGATCGGCCAACATAACGTTCTAGCCTTACTTAGACAGATTGAAAGGACCGCCCTATAGGGCCACCTCCTTAAATACAGGCAACGACGCGTGGGATGTTTCTGATGTTGCCGCTGTTGTTGGTGAGATCTGTGCTTTGAACGGTGCATAGTTTTAACTGAAATTCGAACGGTTAAGTCGGAAGACACTGATCGAAATGGAATGACAATGATGAGAGGAGAGACTAATCAGATAAAAAGAGCTTCATTGCCCCAAGATTTAGACATCGTTCTTCGCAACATGTGGGAGCTGACTTGAACACTCCACACCGCGACGGCCTGGATCCGTGTCACTAGCATCAAGGGCGATGAGGTTATCGTCAAGGATGTAGCTCTTGCGTCTGGAAAGATTACCAAGGCCACCGAGAACTACTGAGGATGGTCGAACGGCGTAGCTGTCATGTGCGTGGGTAATGTCGATACTCTGGGTATTCCCACAGTTCTTTTTGTGGCCATAGGATGGCTTTTACACTTTTATTTTCTTGTATATAGTTGGAAGAATCACCGAGAATATTTCACATTTGAGCAATGATGTTCAAGCTTTTGCCAAGAGGAGGTCGGCTCTCGTTCCCTTGGCGAAAGCACATGTTGGTTGATACAAGACGGTGCCGCTGATCAAAGTGCTACATCAAACCATATGTTCTGGAAATTTGATACAAGATAGCGTCTGATGCCCGTGTTGAACGCCCGGCTTTTCAAAGTTTGAGGCTCTTATTACGCTCCATAGCCTGCATCAATTGAGACGATGGTGTTGTTGACTATCGCCGAGGAGAGCCAGCCGACAGCCGGCCGGGCCTAGATTCTCATCGCTCCACTGCCGCAGGGGGCATGACGTTGGAACTTAGCGGGGAGACCCCCGGACTGACCCCGCTGCCGGGATGGAGCACGCTAAAACAGGCAACATTTGGCGGTCGCCATCGTCCTCGTTCGATTTCTCCTTTTTCAACAATCTCCAACTCACCTTATCGCAAACGATTTCCAAGTTGACTGCCGACCAAACCAAGGCTGCGACCGGACGAGAAAGATATTTGTGTTGCTATGTCTGAACGTGTCATACGCAGACGTAATGTTACTTCAAGAGACCGCACCGGCTGTGTCACCTGTCGCTCCCGCAGGTTGAAGTGCGACGAGAAGAAGCCAAGCTGTAATAACGTATGCTCTCCACTTCTCGCCGCAATACTAGCTCGTTTGCTGAAGGAATCTTTGCCCGCAGTGTACGCGCCTAAATCTTGAATGCGGTGGTTATGTCACCCCGATCAAGTTCAAGGATCAAACAGATCTGTGGGAGCGAAAGCAGAGGAAGAAACGCGAGGCCAAGAAGGCCGCGAGTGCCAATCACCAGAGCCCCTCATCACCTGTGCCGTCGCGAAGTGACCCGGCGCCCGCAATAACACCACGATCATCACGGCCCATCGTCAATCTCGATGATGTTCATGATGATACGTTCTTCTCTGTTGATGACACACAGGACTTCCTCGCAGGCTCACAGGAGCAATCGCTTTACGAAGCCGCAACATCGTTAGCCCTGATCTCGGAGGGAATTCCGCGTGAGACTGGTGGTCATGACGGTCTAGAGATCAGCGACAGCTCACAATCCAATCATGTTGTCAACTCAGTGTCAACAGCATCAGTCAACGTCGACTTTTCCATGTATGCTGCTGGAGATAAGACATCACCAGTATTTTATGGAAATGAGCACCTTCCAAGTTGCACTCCGATATATCAGCCGCAGGACTCTCCCAGAGTCTGGGACCCGCACCTCGATGAGTCAAATCGGCAGCTGAGTTCAGTCCCGACGATATTACCTGGAATTATTGAAAGCAGCAAGTTTCCAGAAGACACGATCTACTACCACCACCTCAGAGACAGCTCGCCTTATGGCATCTTATCAATCCTGTCTCTCAGCGATATTCTACAAGAGGATCAACTCGACAGCGCCTTCTTCCATGCTGCGCTGGCTTTGTCGGCCCTCGATATTTCTCAGTACAGACCTTCAGAGACTCTTGCTAGCAAAGCTGCGTTGCAAGCACTGGATCACTTCGTTGCTGCCCTCGGCACCGTGCGTATGGCGCAGCTGGATGATGAAGGCGTCGCCACAGGATGTCCCTCAAACCAAGATAACGCCATATCATGGCTAGCTACTGTTCTGTTACTCGCAAACTTCGAGTTACAACGGGGGCAGATGAAGCTCTGGTACATTCACAGCAGAGCCGCGGTCACATTCCTTTCGCAACATCTCAATCGCGTACGAGAATCACCCGTGGGGGAGTCTCTCATCCGGTCCTTCTCCCGCATAGCCGCCCTTCTAGATATTTTCGACCGAGCCTACTCCGTCCGATACAGCATTGCATCACCAGACGTCTCAGACTCACTGGCCTCGTCGCTTGTCAATTCGCCTCAGTCTGCCGACAGGTTGTTGTACATCTTGCCCCGAGTCATTAAACTTGAGGAAGAATGGAGGAGTAACCCACAGCATGACCTACACTGGCGTGGCCAAGCAGAAGATCTAATCCAAGAGTTGAAGGCATGGAGGAACACCTTGGACGACTATGACGTGCCGGCCTTGCACGAGCACACAGCAAACCCCTTCGATGAGACCGCCGAAGGCCCTGGCATCACGATTAAGCCTCTCAGTATCCCTCGGGCACGAGAGCCCGTCAAAGCAGCGACGACCTTTATGCACTACCTAATCTCTCTTCTACGACTGGAGACACGATATCTTCCAGGTGCAAGACGAGAATTGCCACCCAACGCGAAGAAGATCATCCTTCTCGTTTGCAGGCTAGCAGCCGGTGTCCCTTACGCATCCTGCGCCGCCGTCAACGCGTACGGCCACGGAATGCTTCCGGCAATGATGAACGCGTACTACATGGCAGAAGACTTAGACCTAAAGACATGGATCAAGAACTGGATCGCCGGGTTTCCGAGGGATCGGGAGGGAATCTGGAACGTCCGCCACGCCCACCGGGTACTGCGCTACGTGGACGAGGAGTACACCCGCCGCGGCTCACGACACAATTGGGAAATCATCAAAGTGCGCATGGTTGACCTAGAGGATGACGCCACTCCTCAAGAAGACGAGGAAAGGGACCCCGATCGGTTCTCGGTCGAGGTGTATTCGAGGTGTAAGCGGGGGTGGAGCATCGACTTTGTAGAAATACCCTAAGAGGTAATTTTGACATACTCTGGCAGAGTGGGTTCGCTGATAGCTTACGATAGCGTAATGAGATGAACAGATGGGCCAAATTCGCTCGGCAACCCCGTCGATGTCCGATTTTCCTGCAAATTTCAACACCGAGAGGACCCGGCGCCGACCGAAGCTGACTCCACTATTTCCACTTGTCGCGCTACGTCCGGTGACGGCCCATTCGTTGTGGGTTTTCTTAGCGCCCTCGTTCTCCTTTGCCCGTTTGGGTAAGTTCATCCCGGTGGGCAGCCCACGATGGCCTCGGGATCATGCGCTGGTTGCCAATCACGAAATTTTGGACAATTGCGCTTGCAATTGCGAACGTTCCGCCTCTGACATGGGCTTTCTACTTTCGGACTCACTTCCGAGACGACTAACCTTTCGCATGTTGGGTTGCTAAAGGTTGCTTTATCAGCATCGCCAGCACACATCTTTAACGTTACCTATGCCCACCGTTGCACCAAGCTTTGTCGGTCAATCTTTAGAAATTTCGGCATCACTATCATCATGAGCCCCAGCGCGACGACCACAACTCCCGGCGCAGCCGTGCCCGCTGCGAGCGAAGTTCCCCAGAAGCAACCATGGGGAGAACTCGACGCCTCAGCGATGGTGAAGACTCTCGTCCCCGAGGCAGATCAACGTCCCGTGCCCGCCGTCGATGATCCCGTCCGCATTGGTCAGAACTGCACAGCAGCGCACATGGTTCAAGTGCCTTGGTCGATGGAGACGGGTTGGGGGACACCAGTCATGAGCCCGTATGGCAAGATTGCTCTAGAGCCGACAGCTAGTGTCTTGCACTATGCGACAGAGTCTTTCGTAAGTAAAAATTGTGACTTAACTTACGGCATGCTTTTCAAAGACTTCAAACGCTAATGAATGAGGGTACAGGAGGGCATGAAAGCCTACCGCGGCTACGACAACAAACTCCGCCTCTTCCGACCGCAACTCAACTGCGCCCGCATGGTAAAATCCAACGCACGCGTCGGCCTCCCCTCCTTCGACCCCCAGGGCCTCCTCGATATCATCACCGCATACATCTCCATCGAATGCCGCCGCTGGCTCCCCGACCAGGGCTCGAATATCTACCTCCGCCCCGCCATGATCGGCAGCGGCTGTGCTCTTGGCATCAACCAGCCGCCCGAAGCCCTGTTCTTCCTTTTTGCAGTCCTGTTCCCGCAAGCATCGGGCTTGCCACACCCGGGAATCAAGCTTCTCGCGAGCAGCCCGGAACATATCCGTGCTTGGCCTGGTGGTTTCGGATCTGCGAAGGTGGGCGCGAGCTACGGACCGTCGATGGTGTTGCACGCTGCCGCGAAGGCTAAGGGGTGCTCGCAGACGTTGTGGCTTTTTGGGGAGGACAGGTTGGTCACGGAAGCTGGAGCCAGCAACTTTTTTGTTGTTTTGAAGAAGAAGGATGGCCAGGGCATCGAACTTGTGACCAGCTCACTTGACACGGGAGTCATTCTGGACGGTATCACGAGGAGGAGTGCACTGGAGATTGCGAGAGAGCGCCTGACGAAGGAAGCTTCAGGGAAATACACGAGTCTGGATGCCTTGGAAGTTGTCGAGAGGCCATTCAGCATGGACGAGATTGTTGAAGCACATGCTGAGGGACGACTTGTCGAGGCTTTCGTCACCGGTACCGCGGTAAGTTCGCCCTTGGTCTAAAGGTGGCACTGATAGATGATTTGAATGTTTTGCTGACTGGTCTTGATTTAGATGTTCGTTACCCCAGTATCGCTGATTCACTACGATGACCGGGATATCAACCTCCCAATGACTGTCACTGATGATGGGCATAAAATTCCTCATGCGAAATACTCGTCGGCTATCAAGGCTTGGCTGGAAGACATTATCTACGGACGGGTTGATCATGAGTGGGGATATGTCGTTGAGGAACAGTAGTTGATTGAGCCTCGTTGAGGAACAGTAGTTGAATGAAACTTGGATGAGAGAACTATATACTGCATTGATGAGCTTTTGTAACCAGACTAGAAACGTGCTGGATGAAATTCTGACTTGAGATAAAGAGAGCCATGATACACTAAATTTATTGAAGTTGTAAATTCTTCATACATGGATCGCTTTCTTACACTAGCCTAGTTATAACCGAGCTCGGGCATGCTTTGAGATGGAAGCTGTAGGAGATAAGACTACCTGTTCCCCGGGTCGCACACATGTAGAAGCCAAGATTTGTCAATTGTGTTCAACTCTGTTCACTTTCACAAATTTGATGTCTCAGCATAAGAATGCGACTTTTTGCCACAAAGAGTTCCTTCCGGTTTAAGTCCAAAACGCGATGGTGACGCCTAACAAAACCTCCTCCTCTATAACACTTTCTGTTTCTATCATGATGGCAGGGTGGTGAAGAAATCGTCTACTCTTTTCATGGCAATCAACGCGTGGTTCTAAGTGTTTACACTCATGTTAGCCATGGACTGAGCAATCAGGAGTAGACTATACCAACCTTCATAGAATCGTGAGTCAATCCTCCCAGGTGAGGTAGCAAAGTGACGCAATCATACTCGAGCAACCTTGAACTGACTTTGGGCCTTTTTGTCCCGAACATCAGCACTGGCCATATTTGAATCAAGAGAAGGCGACTTACTCGTTGTAATGAACGTCAAGTCCAACGCTGGATACGACCCCGCTATCGATGGCGTCACACATAGCATCCTCATCGATACACTTTCCCCTTGCCACATTCACAATCCTCATGCCCTTTTTCATATCTGAAAAGACCTCTTGCGAAAGCAGGTGATGGGTTGCCGCAGAGTAAGAGCACGTCAAAACCAGACAGTCAACAACGGCAACCAGCGCTTGCAGATCCTTGTGAAGTGCCACAGGCGGAATGAGGCCCCTTATATATCCATCTTCGTGTTGAACAGTCTCAAGAAGCTTCCTCAGATTCGGCCTGTCGATGCAATGGATCTCCATACCTAATGCTGCAGCCTGGCGTGCAACAGTCTGTCCGATCGAGCCCATGCCAATGATGCCCAACTTTCTGCCGTAGGGATCTACAGCTGTTTGTGCAGAGTGCCTCAGTGCTGGTAGGAATTGATCGTCCCGAAGCATACGCTCATATCGGTTGAGCTGACGAAAGACGGAGATGATGAGGTAGGTTGCGACGACAGCAGTTGCTTCGCTACCGCCTGTCGTGTTGAAGAACTCGATGCCTCGGGAATTCAGCCCGGCAACATCTTCCTCCTCAAATCCATGGCCGAAGTTAACAATCAACTTTAGCGATTTGGGGAAGTATTCCAGTGCGCGTTTGGTCCAGCCGTTGCCAACCTTTTCGATCCCGGAGGGAACGTTGAGGCCGATTCTCATGATTCCCGATACGTCATGGCAAGCACCGCCCTTCAGAGACTGATAAAAATCTTTTGTAGTTGGGAAATCATATTGGTAGACCGCGTACCGTGTGCAGAAGTCTTCCCAAACATTGTCAGGAACGACCCCTTCGGGCGAGCCAATGACAAGAACCTTCCGGTGTGGCGCCATGGGAAGAAATCTGAAGTAAAGAATAAAGCGATGAACCTGGCGCAAATGACCGAATGAGACTTCTTCGACTTGAATACATGTCGCCGATCAACGAAACGGATGACCAACGAGTTATCTTTGCATTTAATGCCAGATTTACTGTGAAGCTCTTAGCAGCTGATTCTTCGTAAAAGACTGCCTATTCGGGTAGATCTTTTTCAGTGGGGTACGATCTGATTAGAGAAATATACCCCTGCGAAAGATCTTATCCGATCTCGCTTAGCGTGGGGTCGTAGGAGATGAGCAGCTTGGAATCCGTCATCAACCCCTCCTTTCGCGTCAAAATTGGTGACGTGACTGATCGCAGTCGAGGAGGTTTTTGAGGCTGCTCTCGCACCAACATTGGCTCAAAACCCTATCATCTTGGCGCCGAGACCGACGTTGACTATGGCTGCAAGGGCTGATGCTGTGGGCGACAGCCTTACTGGCTTCTACGCGAAGTGAGTTTTCCACTGAGAACTTCAGGGTTATCTTGAAGTCGCAGAACTGACAGACAGCAGGGTGGACGAGTTGGAGACTTCTTTCATTGAAAGTGAGTGGTTTTCGTTATCTGCAAAGCCTAATGTATCGAATTTCACACTAATTCACTGACAATTGAAAGGACTGGAAGAAGCAGTCAAGATCCCTTCGGTATCTGCTTACGCGGAACGAAGAGAAGATGTCTTCAGAGTGGGTCGCATTTTTGACTCCCAAGCTGAATTCAACTGACAAGATTATCAGATGAGCGAATGGATTGCCTCAAAGATGAGAGAGCTAGGAGTGGAGGTCACAATGAAGCCTTTAGGGAAACAGCAAGACAAACCTGACCTCGAGTTGCCCCCTCTCGTCTTGGGTCGGTATGGCAACGATGCTGAGAAGCCAACCGTCCTCGTCTACTCCCACTACGATGTTCAACCTGCTGCTCTTGAAGACGGTTGGAAATATGACCCCTGGGTTCTCACGATCGAAGAGAATGGTCGGCTATGTGGTCGAGGAACTTCGGATGATAAGGGCCCGCTAATAGGATGGCTCAATATGATTGAGTCTTTCCAAAAAGCGGGCGTTGAGGTCCCGGCGAACCTCGTCTTCTGTTTCGAGGGCATGGAAGAGAACGGGTCCTTTGGCCTGCGCAAAGCCTTGGAGGAAGAAGCGCAAAACTTCTTCAAAGACATTGATGTGGTCTGCATCACTGACGTCGTGTGGGTCAGTGACGAGCAGCTTAGCATCCCTCAGGGCTTGAGAGGAATCATCTTCTACCTTCTCACCATCACCGGCGCCGAGAGAGACGCTCATAGTGGTGGCTTTGGTGGGCAGATCTCCGAGCCAATGACCGATATGGTCAACATCATGTCTTCGCTCGTGGATTCGAACGGCAAGATTCTTGTGCCGGGTATTTACGACACGGTGCAAGCCGTGACGAGAGAAGAGTATGACAGCTATAACAAGCTGAATATCTCAGACGATTCTTTGCTTGGGGGAACGGGCGCCAGAAGCCTCCACAAGACCCAAGCGGACGCCTTGATCGCGAGGTACTTATCCCCAAGGTCTAGTTGTTGACGTGGAACTGACAAGCGACCAGATGGAAGAAGCCATCCCTCAGTCTTCACAGGATCGAAAACGCGACACCTGGCGCAGGAGCCGTCACTTCAATTCCTGCGAAGCTTGTTGGCAAGTTCAGCATCAGGACAGTCCCCAACATGAAATCGCAGGATATCGACAAGCTTGTTCAGAAGCATATTCGAGAGAAGTTCGAGGCGCTCGGGAGCAAGAACGAGTTGGATATCAACTGTGCTGACCAAAGTGACTGGTTCTACGAGAGCGCCGACCACTGGAACTACCAAGCCGCAATCCAGGCGACCCAGAACGTTTGGGGTGTTGATCCAGTCCTCACATGCGAAGGCGGAAGGTAAGGAGGCATCATGAAGCGTCGTTTGCCGCAAGCTAATTCTGGACCAGCATTCCCATTGCATTGGACTTCAAGCAGATTCTTCAGAAGAACGTGCTTTTGCTTCCCGTTGGACGACCCACTGACGGAGCTCATACCATCAACGGTGCGTTTTGTTATTCTTCCAGAGTCCAATATTTGCTAATGATTTTCGGTGGGCTGCAGAGAAGCTGGACAAGAACAACTAGTAAGTCCTATCGATTTGCACAGTCCGTTTCCCCTCACTAACGACCCCGACAGTATCAACGCTATCAAGTTGTATGGATCGTATCTCCAAGAGGCGCAGAAATTATGGCGTCAGAGCAAGGCGACAGCATAGCTCACCAGACAGTATTCGCAAATCGTGCTTTGATGGGCACATCAGGACAATCAGAACATGGATCCGGCTACATCGCAGAAACCGAAAATACCCATATCAAAAGGAACCTCCACTCTCTTTTCGCCGTGACTCGTGACCAAATCATCATGCGCTCTTTCAGCCACCAACCAGTCTCAATCACCGAGCGATACCTGGTTCCTGAGCGCGCTAAAGCAAGGATCGTGGCGGATGGCAGAATTGCCTAAATAGGAAACTCTGAACGACGGAGGTGAGGGGCATCAATTGTGCGGGGCACATCGTTGAGATACGAGACAGGCTCGTAAAGCGTCCCAGAGAAGAGTCCAAACACTCCCATATGTAGACACATTTCCTCGACGTTGTTTTCTATCGACGTGAAAATCGCTTTTGAGTTTGTGATTCCACCTCAGAGCCATCAGTCTTCACTTGATCTTACTTCCCTTCGTCGCGAGAGTCGGTCGGCCAGAAACGGCACCATGTGTCGACATCAGTCATCAGCGGTCGCAGACGTGAACACCAACTCCAACTTCAAGGAGGTCGTCACAAAGCATACCGACATTGATGTGACGATTGACTTCGAGCGGACCGTGCTCGTCGGGTCAACAATCATTACGTTCGAGTCAAGACGCGCGAGTCTGACTGAAATCATTCTTGACACCAGCTACTTAATTGTGAAACAAGCTACCATCAATGGCACCCGGGTTTCTTGGGACTTGAAAGCCCCAAAAGACGCCAATGGCAGTCCCTTTCATATCTACCTCGATCGAGCCTACGAAAATGGAGAGGCTTTCAAACTTGCCGTAAGCTCTGGCTCATCAACTAACGTGGAACTCTGATGCTGAGTATACCCTCGTAGGTTGACTTCGAAACAACAACGGAGACAACTGGCCTTCAGTGGTTCAAGGCTTCGCAAACAGATGATAAGAAATATCCGTTCATGTGTAAGTCCCCAGAACAGACGATTAGCTGTTGTTTTCAGCTCATAAACCGCTAACTTGGTGAAGTTTCCCAGGGAGAGCCAGTCCACGCACGCTCCATGTTCCCATGCCAGGACACTCCATCCATCAAGACAACTTTCGACATGACGATTCGGTCCATCTTACCAGTTGTCGCGAGTGGTATTCCTGAAAATGAGCTAATCTTCCCTCCCGTTCAGGAGCCACTAGAGCTCAAGACCTACAAGTTCAAACAGGAGATTCCAATCTCAAATTATCTGTTCGCGGTGGCTAGCGGGTATGTGTGTTACTCCGACCGACTATGGAATATAGCTGATGGGCATCTCTTAGGAATCTTGCGGGAGAGAAGATTGGTCCTAAGAGCTATGTTTACTGTGCGCCTGGTGATCTCGAGGCCTGCAAGGCGGAGTTCAGACCCGATCTGCAAGCCATAATTAAATCTGCGGAGGTAAGGTAGCTGGCTTATCGACGACCTCGCTACGGTGACTGACTTTGTTTATTTTTGACTGCAGAATCTCATCTTCGAGTACCCATGGCCGCTTTACAATCTCGTTGTCCTGCCCAAATCGTTCCACCTAGGAGGCATGGAAAACCCAGTCTTCAACTTCTACAGCGCCACTGTTGTCTCGGGCGACCGTGAGAACATTGGAGTCGTAGCCCACGAGTTCGCTCACAGCTACAGCGGTAACCTTGTCACCAATGACGCCTGGGAGCACTTCTGGCTGAACGAAGGTTGGACTGTCTACATAGAGCGTTGCATCCTGCGAGACCTCCGCGGGGAAGAGGCAGTCCAGCTTGAAGCCATCGTAGGATGGCAAGATCTGCTCTACAACATTGAAGCTTACGGCGGTAACGAAAGCGTGTTCACAAGTCTCGTTCTCGAATTTCAGGGAAAGAGGCCTGATGACATCATGTCGAAGATCTCCTACGAGAAGGGCTACACCTTTTTGTGTTTCCTGGAGCAGCAGGTGGGAAGGGAGAAATGGCACAAATTTGTTCCTCACGTAAGCGATTGTTGGTTCCGCAATTCTACGAGATACTAATGATGACTTTAGTACTTCAAGACTTTCTTCGGCAAGAGCGTCAACTCTGAGCAATTCAAGAGTTGCGTTCTGGATTTTTTCTCCCAGGACGTCCACGCCGCAGTTGCGCTTCACGCAGTTGACTGGGAAACCTGGTATCACAAGCCCGGTGCACCGCCAAAGCCTATCTTCGACTCCAGCCTCTACAGAGATTGCATTGGATTATGCGACAAGTGGAAGATGCTTGGCTCAAACGAAAGTGCCTTTACGCCCTCGTCTAAGGATGTTGAGGGCTGGACAGTTGGACAATTATTAGTCTTTCTTGACCTTCTGATTGAAAGTTCCAGTCCTATTCCCAAACAGTTCAGCCACACATTGGGTTCGCAGTATGGTTTACTATCCTCAGGAAATCTGGAGATAGTTAGCCGCTACCTCCGTGTTGCACTGCGAGCACGCGACGAAAGTGTCTTGAAGCAGACCGAAGAGGTTCTTAGCCAGACCGGCCGTATGAAATTCCTCAAGCCACTGTAAGCTTTTTCATTCCAATGAAGTTTCTCCCGTGATAGCTGATGTGGTATCAGGTTTGAGGGATTATTGTCAGTCAGCGAAAAGTTGGCTGTGGAGTTGTTTAACAGACATCGCGACTTTTATCATCCGACATGCTTGAGGTTGCTGCGAAATGTGCTTGAGAAGCATGGGCTAACTGTTGGTTGATGTGAATGTTCGAAAAGTCCCTCAGGTTTCGTCTTCATACATGTATTTTGGCCATAGGAGTCTCTCCAGCTCAGGCCTCCCTGGCCCTTCATAGATTTTCCAGTCAGAGTCAAACAGCAGTCAAAAAGATGCGCCCGCAGACGGTAACCTGCTGTATGAAAGTATGGAAAAAACCTTAGAAGCGAAGAAGGTTGGGTTCGGCTTGTGGATAGAGACATAATCAACATTTTTATGGCTACTGGCTGAATGTAAATTGTGTAACACTAGAAAAGCCACTTGAGATACCGAGGTAGACCTCGTCTTAGGAAGCTATTTGTTTTGAGTTTTGTTCGGTCATACACAGACGTTTTCTGGGACGTTTGTCAATTGTGAGGAAGCAAAGTGATCCTTTCAATGCAACGTGACTAGTATCGGACTTATCGTAAGTGAAAGGGATATCGTTTCCGAACTCTTTGGTGGTTGGAAAACGCCACTCGGCTTTATGCACTGTAGCAGATGTAAGCCCGATTCTCGCTTCCTTCCACGGGCCCAATTCCGAAGCAGCGCAAGTGAAAGCCGGCTCGCGACCCGGGGTTAATTGCTGTAGAGTACTCCTTTCGGCCGGCGCGGTAGGCAAAAGCAAAATATCCAATGTTATTTATTTCCCTTGCAGAATCAACTATCTCTTGGCATCGGCACAATACTTCAACCATTTTCCCCAAGATTAGATCGTATCCCTGCAGTATGTCGTTTCCTTACAAGCAAATTCTCCTGGTGGGTGCCACTTCCGGGATTGGCGCGGCTACGGCGGACAAACTTGTTCAGGAGGGCATTAAGGTAATTGCAGTCGGTCGTCGCCAAGAAAGACTCGATGCATTTGTCCAGAAGCATGGGCCATCCAGGGCAGACTCGATCTGCTTTGATATAACAGACCGAGCCGGGTTGGATAACTTCGTGAACGAGTAAGTTCTCTAACATTACTGTAGCGGGTTAGACCGCCGAACTAATAAAGTCAGAGTCTGTCGAAAGTTCCCTGAACTGGACTGTGTGTTCATCAACTCAGGCATACAGAGCCAGATCAGGCTTTCCCGACCCAGCAGTGTGGATCTGGACGCATTTCGCAACGAGGTGAACACCAACTTCCTAAGTGTTGTCGACATTTCCATCAAGTTTCTCCCAAAACTCCAAGTGAAGAAATTTCCCACCGGATTGATATTTACCGGAACGCACCTCGCTATCATTCCCGCTGCCACCCTACCGGCATACTCGGCGTCTAAAGCTGCGCTTCACTCTTACGTCTACAGTCTTCGAGAGCAATCGAGAGGTTCCAGCACTAAGATTATTGAGATTTGGCCACCCGTTGTTCATAGTGAGTGCAAGCCAAGGATTCCTTACCTCCACGCGCGACTAACTTTGGCAGCTGAGTTACACGACTACATGGGCCAAAAGCGAGGCCGATCTATGGGAATGCCTGTCCACGAGTTCACTGAAAGAACATACTCTCAACTTGTCACTGGTTGCGATGACGTGCTGGTCGGTTCAGTTGGTCGAGAAGAGCCTTATTTGGAGCTTTTCAGGTCCCGGAAGCAGCAGGCCGACGATCTGACAAAACTAGTCCTGTCTCATTTTGAGCTATAGTCTTGTTGAGGGTCGGAGATCATCTTCATGGATGGGTCATGGATGAGCTGAATGCAGATGACAGCCACAAAGAAGATTGACACCCAAGCATTCCGTTGGGTGGTGCATGACGTCGCACACCCTTTTGCGGGGTGCAGCGATGCAACCGAGTTCAATTCCTTGTTAGTTCCCTTGCGAGCCAATGAAAAGCTTTTGGAAAGGTTTGGGGAATACGGAGAACAGTCTGGGGTATGTGCGTACCCACGTCAATACCCCGACGGGATGGTTTCATCAGACTTGAGCCTCGGTCTTTCACGCTGGGTTGGTTGTTGGTGATTCATGTGATGATACCAAACCCAACAACAGCGATGTGCCGCCCATTCAGTCCAAAAGATCACAACTTTGCTCACAGTCACGCATATCCTAGGAGAAGGGACAAGCCTTGAGCTACACTAAATGAATTCAATGTCCAATGCTTGCTTGCACTAAATACAAACTGAAATATGTAAACAATAAGAAGGATGTTAGTCGTGATCATACGTCATGATTTGAAAAGTTCCAAGCCTGTGCCACTACTTGTCGCCAAAGTGAGTCGCCGGCCATCGCCTCCTCCACGCTGGTCCGAAGAAGTATACCACCGGAATGAAGACTGCGAACGCAGCGATCAGCCCGGTGTAGATCATCATCGAATGGAAGTAGCCCATCTCAACAACCCAATCAGAGATCTTGAATGACAGTGCGAAGGCCAACAAAGCCCTGAAAGATGCGATATTGACCAACGCAGGGCCTGCAAGGTGAGGGTAACATTCCAACACGTAAACCGCGCCGATGGAATTGGCACCCAAGAACCCGAAAGCCATCAAGCCCAAACCCGTGAGGAACGTAACCCAGGAGTAATTCGCCTGATTCGAGCCAGCTAGACCGAAGATAACGGCTCCGATAATACCAGCGAGGGTCGGGATAATGAGATTGATGAGCTGGTTTTCGGGCTCTCTCACACCGCGCTTCATTGCGAGTCGGTTGGCCATCCAGTCGGCAGCTTTGCCAGTCACCAACGCCACTGCGACGGCTGCGACAAGGATAGGAAGGAGGCAAAGTCCGAGGTTCATAAAATCCCATCTAGAAGAATCGTTAGTTGTGACATCAATGGAGTTGGTATGTTTAGTGACTTACGACCACGGTGCAGTCAGCAGAGCGGGAGCAACGGTGTATCCAGCCGCGAAGGCGCATGCAATCATGACACTGTTGAGCATAGTAATGAAGAAGATCTGAGGGTAGAAGAACGTGCGAAGCGTGTCAACAAAGGCGTTGAAGCCCTTGCGCCACTCCATCTTGCCGTGGAACATAGCGATGTTGTACCGAAACGTTCTAGGCTCACGCAAGTGCCCGGTCTCATCCCGGGGGACGCCATCTGAAATAGAGTCAGCTTTGATGTTACTAATTTAGTTGGTGAAGAATTCTGGACTTACTCATTTCGGCACGTGTACGGTCCCACCTCGTCTCGGGCATGAAGAAATAGACACCAACGAGGAAGACGGCAGCGCCCATCGCGGTGATGAAATACATCCATCTCCAGCTGAGGTTGATGATCATGTACGGAGCCGCGATTCCGAGGACGATGATGATCAGACCCTGGGCCGCGAAAATACCAGAGATCCAAGCGTTACGTTGATGAACGAAGACCATGTCCTGAATGATGAAAGGGATCAAACTTTCGACGGTACCAGCTCCCAGGGCTTGCAAGCAACGAGCCAGCAAGTGCGATGGCAGAGACCGACTGGCTCCGGCCCACAGGGCACCGATGATGGCGAGAACACCGGTGATGAGAACCACCGGGCGACGGCCGACTGAAATGGCCAGCGGTACCAGGAAAAGGTTGGAGAGTCCGATGACCAACACGGGAAGGGATGCCAAGAGATAGACATGAAAGATTGGTGGTGCTCCTGGGAAGCTGGAGAGAATCTTCAAAGGATCAGTTCCGGCGGGGAGGCCTCCATTCGACGTCAAGTCTTTGAGAATTTTCGGATCTAGGCCGGCATATTCGACAGCAAACACTGGGAGCATGGCACCCAGGATCAACTCAGCGGCCGCAGCCAACGCGCCGAAACAGCAGAGGCAGAAGGTTCCCAGGAGCTTTCGAGAGATAGGAAGGTTGAGGGGATCTCGCGGATCTTTCGTCGGTGCGGGTTGCAGAATGAGTTGGCCATTTCTGTAAAGAGCCGCGTCTCTGGCTTGTGCCTGCTCATCAAAGTCAAACGTGGATCGTGAAGTCTCGACCTGCTTCAATTTCTGGATCTCAGTCGATGAGCTGTTGTGTTTCCGGAACCTGTCGGTCTGAAAGTGATGCTGGTCGTTTTTGTTACTCTTGTCGGCATCACGGGCCCAGGATGGCTCGAAGAGGCTGGAGCCGTTAGATAATCGCGGATCGTGAGCCGCAGGGGGGGGTGCCATTCTTTGATTTCTTTGTGAATCCATTGTTTTGGTGTAGGGTACTACGATGTCTTTGGAATGTGAAGTTGGGAGAAGGGAGGCAAGATGAACTTATCGGGGGAAATTGACTTCAAAAAGTTAAATGGCTTCGAGGGACCTTTGTGCTACTACGCCCAATCTAGAGTTAACACAGACCATGGCGCTATGATAACCGAAACATGTGTCCTGACTGGACGGCGAGTCTATGCACCACGAAGAAAAAGGTTAAGCGGATACTTTCCGGGTCGTTACTAATTGCCGTGGCGACTGTGCCTGAGATTAGGTATAGTGCTACTGTCGCCACACGGCTTGGTAGCTCTGCCCAGAGTGGCTTTGCAGAACAATCAGATGAAAGGAAGACAAAGAGATGCATCCACACAGACGCTGAATTCAACATCGCGCCCTTACCCCGCAAGGTCTGGCCCACCGCTCAGCTTCCGAGAGTCTAAATTTGATCTTCCCCTCGATTTGAGTTATCCCAGTCATAGGATGTTTCGTATATGTCATTAGATCCGTGTTGGTGCATACTTATCTTCTTCGATATACCGTCCTCCAGCATCCTCGGCAACAAGACTGGACGAACACATGCTCCGAAAGGTTGTACTTGATTTGCCCATTTGGGCGACATCGTTTCATGGATGTCATATGGTCGTCATGCAAACAGTCCAGCTGCCCTTTTAAATCCCAAGAAGGGTCCCCAATCAAGGGTTGCTTGTCTCTTTGGCTTTTGTCGGGCAGTAAGCGATGTGGGGGGCTGGTTTGGCCTGTGGGGGGTGGTCTGGGGATGATCTGGGGAATCTGGGGAGAAGAGAGGTCATTTTTGACGTCAAGAGCGAGAAGGCATGAAGGAGGTATACTCGGTGTCTACTATTACTTTGCTAGGTGAGTTGGATGGAGGGTTGGCGTGCAGAACAATCTATGACTCCGACCTAGACAAATCCCAGCTCCCACACATCGCCAAGTCTCGAGTTATCCTCCGCCAGCCCGCCATGAACGATGACGGAGTTCTGTGCAACGTCGGCATCGAACCATCCTCTGGGATCAGGATGATCACCTTGTGTTTCGACCTTTTCCCACGTCTGTTCCTCCAGATCAAACGCCCAAACATCAGCCAACATCTTCCCGGCTCCGGCGTGGCCAAGGGAGCTTGGGTCCCGCTCTCCGAACATAGTGACAATGTGGGTCTTCTCTTGGACCCTTACGGTGACCAAGGCCGAGACACTACGGGATTCAGGACCACTGATACCGTCCGGAGCGAAAGCAACCGTAGTCCAAGACTGAGAAGCACAGTCAAAGATGTCTACGGACCCGCCCTGCTCGGTCTTTCCATCAAACCCGTTCATCCGATAGAGCTTGCCGTCGTGGTACGTGATTGAGGGTCCTCCACGCGCTGGCGGCGGTGCGTCAGGAAGCTGGGTCCAGCTCTTGGACGTCAGAGTGAAACGCCAGAGATCAGCCAGACGTCCCTTTTCCGGGCAGCCAGCATGGACATAAATGTTATCAATACCATCAGACGCAATGGAGTGGTAGCTGCGTCCAGCAGGAAAGGTCGCAGACTTGTCTCCGGCGGGCTCGACCAAGTCCCATGTGTTTGTGAACGGGATGTAACGCCACACGCAGCCATTCTCCTCGATAGGTTTCATTGCGAGGCCACCGCGACCGGAGAAGATGTATAGCGCATCGTCCAAGACGGTGCTCGGAGACCCGACGCGCGGGGAAGCGGCTGTAGCAGGAACCGGGATCGTACGAATATCTGCTGATCCTACGTATCACACAGGACTTCTAGTCAGATATGATGCCAACAGCATAGGTGAGAAGGCAGAGGTCTGGGTTGCTACCTTGAGGATCTTTCAGCTCTACGACGTCAACCTGGTTGTCGACTGGCTCTCTGGGGACAAGCTCGCCCCCAAAGACGTAAGCGCGGCCACCGAGAACCGACACCGCCTGAGAAGACCGGCGAAGGCGATCGCCAGAGGCAATACGAGTCCAGAGAGCAGATATCTTCGTCATCGTGTCTTTGTCTCTTCGAGTTTCTCTGAGATTCGATTTGAAAGGTTCTTCTGCAAAATGGCTTTGTTCAAAGTAGCAAAGAATGCAAGTTTATATCAAGTCGAGCTTTCAATCTTCCTGGACGTGGTTTCTGAGGGACATGGATTGGAACGGGGCGATCGGGATGGGTAGTTTTAGCCGGACCCTGGCCCCAACACGGAGGGACGGAGGCTCCGCACCCTATTGACAACTAGAAGAATTGACGCATGCGCTAGGCAACCACAAAAGCCGGGTCGAACCATCAATTGGAGGATTGTTACACAGGTGTTGGTGCTGCTAATTCGGGGTCTGCCATCTATGAGTTCCACTACAAGTTGTTGAGAGTGAGCCTAAGTAGGATGGGCAACCAGGATGCAACACACGGACATGAGGAAGGCAGGTAACCGCCTGCACCCATAAGCGGCGTGTCAAGTACCGTTCGATTTGGCAGCAGGTACAAATGTAGAGAATGGTGAGGTTGTGCTTGTGCTGCTGTGTGCTAAGGGACCGCACTTGATGCGCCATCTTCACCTTACTTCTAAGCCTCAAACCACAAACCATCATTCCTAAGTACGCATTGTAACGAGACTGGTGCCGAGTATCAAGCCAGGCTTTTACAATGGTGTTCTATCATATAATCGTATTTATGGCTTTCTATGCCTTAGATACCCTCAGCAACTTCAACATCTCTAACGAGCGAACGGGGGCTGCGAATCGTTTGCGGACCTCAATCGAACGGCACCTGGAGGAGAAAGATAAACAAAACACTCTAGTCATCACTACTCTTTGCAGCATCTGGGGCGCGATAGTTGGCTTCTTCATCATCTTTGTCAGCGTTGGTGCCATCAAGGCGTATCGTCATCCCGAGAGATATGGTCCGCGAGACGGTTCTGAGGGCCAGACAGCTCAAACTAGGATGCACGGAATTACTCGAGCGATGTTAGATACGATTCCGGTGATAAGATTGGGAGCCGTGGAACACTCGACTTCTGATATTGAGCTACAGAAAGCTGCGGCTAAGACTCCGACCAGGACAGATGGCGAGACCAAGAGCTGCAGTATTTGTACGGAAGACTTTTCCGCTCACGACAACGTGCGCGTACTTCCTTGCGGGCACGAGTTCCACCCAGCATGCGTTGACCCATGGCTAATTACCAAATCTTCCACATGCCCACTCTGGTAAGTTGAAAACTCATGTACAGATCGTCGTTCTTTAAATCTGTCGACACCTCCGTTCTTTCATGATGCCGGCGTTGCTAACTCGAATTGAAAAGTCGACATGACCTTGACACGAGCAAGGCACAAATATCCCAACAACATGGAAGCTCAGCTCCACTGAGTGAATCACAAGAAAGAGAAAACATGCGTCAGACAGTTCTTTGGATGAGGTTGGCCAATGCCTAGATGATGGGAGTACTAGTCGGAGCTTCATATGGTCTGCAATTCTGTATGTCTGATAGCACAGAGAGAACCGGAGCTGAATGCCAGAAACTTGGCCTGAAGAATGTTGGTTCAGGAGGTTTCTTTCGTTCAAACAACTTACTGAGCAAAGACGAATTCACTTCAGCATGACCTCCCAATTTCTTGAGGATTGGTTAGACTGCCAACATTCCAGGACTCGCTGGACGGTCGAAGTCAGATTCATGATGGGCGGCACAGTAGTCCTTCCCGTAGCCCGGACATTCTGGACTACACACTCGGGGATTCTTCGGGTCACCCTTGAATCCACGAGTCACCCTGCGTGGGCTCGTGTCTCCCCTGCTCCTCTGCTGTGTCATATCTCTGTCGCTTCTTCGTTTCTTTCTGGCTTCGACATCAGCTGCACCGCCGGGATGATCAACTGCAAATTTTGTAACTGCTTTCTCGTCTTGGTTTTGGTGCTTCCGTTTCTTGATTTGATGCACATGCCCTATACAACCCCTATCACGGCGTATATGGACAGCAGACTACGCCTGCGTAGCCCGGAGCTCCCATGAATGGTTCCAAGCCATATTTACCGGTGTCTGGCTTTGAGGCTTCTTCTCTCTTATTGATGCTGCGCAGAGATGGCATGGTCGTCGTTGAGAAAGCTCACAGCGGTAGGTCGCTAGTCCGAAAGTGAAGTCTACGACTGAAGCAACAAATGAACCTGACGTTAGCTTGAAACTCAAAGATCGTTCGTACTTTGAAAGACTTGCTCTACGTAGTTAAGATGTCGTTGCGGGGTGTAATGAATCTAACACCACGAGAAGTATCGCGGGGAAGGGGCAGAGGCTCAATAAAATTAATTGTACTTCGAATTATGCCACGATACACCTCCAGCTGACAGATTACATCATCGTGGCATCTGAAAGTGTTTGGTCTCACCAAGACCGGTATGCAACCACCGATTTCACGTCCAATCACTGCTTTACGCACGTCACCAAGATTGCAACTTGGATGATTATTGGTGACTCCCTAATTACTGTATTTTTCATTTTCGATCACCTCAACAGCTGAACCGAATGATCCTAGTAATACCTCCCTAATGGCTTCATATTGGGGGTTCGAATTGACACATGGGAAATGCTCAAACACTAGGCTTCAAAAATTTGAAGCAATGCTATCAAATCTGTAAGGGCACTGGTCTGGGCCGCTGAATCTACGTATGAAGCTTAAGAGCAGCGGTCAATCGCGTATGTCTGTTGATGAGTAGTTGCCGATGTGACGAATTATAACGTGAAGTTGATTTAGTGATGCGGCCAACAAGACGGTTGAGTCAAGGCGACGGGAGCCAATGAAGGCCTCTTTCCATTCATGCCGTAAACATCAGAAGTTAATTTAGCTCGGATCGTCCTGTCGCCTGTTTGACAAAGGACTCTTTGGAAACCAATTTGATCATTATATCATCTCGACAGATTCAATATGGACGCGGAACAGACTGCTCGGCCGACTGACTCTTCACGGCCTTCGGTTTCCGATACCCATAATTGTGGATATCGCGTTAGAAAACGGAGGCCGGCAGGCTCCGATGGGCCCTCCCACCATCGTCTCATTAGGCGGGGATGTTACATAAGCGGAGGTTCCGTCTTCCGATTACAAAGAAAATATGGTTCTCGGTTCTCCATAAACCTCCGTTTTTTGAGACCCTGGTCGCTTTAGCGGATCAGCCTGCATGGTTGTGGGAAAGACTGATCACGACCGAGGCAAGTTTTGGCGAGTTGAACCAACGGTCTGTCTACAACTGGCCTGACTTTGGTCAGTATAAATGGGTCCGGCCATCAGGAAGGAGTGATCAGTCTCAATCCCGGCACCCTCCTCGTTACCACGCAATCGCTGCCATGGATACTAGAAATGTTGAGCACTTCCCTCGGAAACATCGGTGAGCTGGCTGTGGCCAATCCTGTGATGCCGGACTTGCCTTTGCCTTGATCATTGAAACGACAATTTGCAGCAAACCGACCTCCGATTTGTTCTACATGAGTGCTAGCACTTGTCTTCGTTGAAGAGCCATCCAATTCGCCCAATCCTCTGTCTATCACAAGCCTCTTTCCAATTCGAGCCATGGCAAGACCGCAAGTTGCCAGCAGCGAAGAGGGCGTTGGCTCTAATGAGCGAGCACCTCTTCTCAACTCGTCTCCCACGCAGAGCAGCACGAATGATGGAGTCCCTCCTCGCATCACTCGCCGTCTATACGTGTCGCACTTCCTGTCCACTTGGAACTCTCGCGTCTTTGAATTTGGGGCCGTACTTTACCTGGCAAAGATCTTTCCAGGAACATTAATGCCAATGTCAGTGTATGCACTCACTCGTGGGCTGTCAGCAATTTTCTTAGCCTCGGCCATTGGGCAGTACATTGACACTGGTAACCGTCTCAATGTCGTCCGCGTGTCGATTGGTCTGTCTATCCCCTTACATTAGACCGGCTGAATCTGTTAACACCGTGCAGTCTTTCAACGTCTGGTTGTAGCGGCTTCATGTGTCTTATTTTATTTGATGAAGACCAAGCTTCTGTCTGGTAAGAGTGCGGACGTTGGGCTACTGGTTCTCACTTCATTCTTCGCTTGCATCGAAAAGCTGTGCTCCATCATGAACCAAGTTTCTGTTGAGAAAGACTGGGTATGTGTAACCACACATTTTATGGGCTAATGCGAGACTGAAATATGATTGACCGTCATCCAGGTTGTTGTTGTGGCCGGCAGTCATACGTCTTCGCTTCGGACGATGAATGCACAAATGCGCCGCATCGATCTGCTCTGCAAGCTCCTCGGGCCCCTTTCCATCGCCCTGATCGACGGCATATCGACCGATACTGCCATCATCTTCAATTTCACCATGAACGTCTCTTCTGTGGTGATTGAGTACCACGCCATCGCACGTGTCTACTACGAGGTTCCAGCACTACAGGCGAATAAGCGTGATGGCCGCTCACCCGATTTGACTGCCATAGGAGCTCCTCGAGCTTCAACTGGCCGACTTAACGGCTTGGCTCAACGCTTGAAGTTCATCGCGAAGAAGTCCGTGGATGACATGCGACTCTACGTTCGTCATCGCGCGTTCCTCCCATCTTTCGCTGGTGCTTTGCTTTATTTCACAGTATTGAGCTTCGGCGGTCAGATGGTCACCTACTTGCTCTCCACTGGATATTCCGCTACCGAAATTGGCATTGCGCGAACCTTAAGCGTAGCCTTCGAGGTCCTGGCGACCTGGATTGCGCCGTGGCTGATGGAGTTGATCGGTCCTGTGAGGGCGGGCTTGTGGATGAGCAGTTGGCAAGTATCCATGTTGGCAGCGGGAACTGCAATCTTCTGGGCATGCCAGGATGAGCCTTGGCTTTCAGCGACTGGCCTGGTTGGAGGAACTGTTCTCAGCCGTGTAGGACTCAGAGGATTCGATCTTTGCACTCAGATAATCGTGCAAGAAGTGAGTGCTGCCAAAGCGTAACATATGCCAGCGTTCGGAAGCTGACAAGTACAATGTAGGACGTCGAGGCAGAGAATCGTGGTGCTTTTTCGTCGGTGGAAGCAGCTTGGCAGAACGCCTTCGAGCTGCTGTCGTATGCCTCGACCGTCGCTTTCTTCCGACCCGAACAGTTCCGATGGCCGTCTCTTCTTTCAGTTGCAGCGGTTGCAACTGCCAGTGCCGCATACACACTCTTCGTATACCTTCGTCGCGGACATCTGCTGCACCTGAGGGCTTTGGGTAAGTTGTCATGCATCCCAGTGAGATGCAGACAGGGCGACGAAGAAAGAATCATCGCAAGAATCACGTCGGAAACCGATATCTGAGAACAATCAATTCAACCGCTATGATACAAGCCAATCTTTAAGTCGCTTAAAACATCGCCAGAGGGTTGGTCGCGTTGGCAGGGCGTTGCTGCGCCACATCCCAGTGCTCCATGATGCAGGTGCCGTCGAACCTGAAGACATCGACAACAGCAAAGGGCTGTCCGCCTCCTACAACATCCATTCGGTAGTGAATAAACGCAACGTTATTCTCGAAGCCCTTATTCATGATCGTGTTATTAACGGTATTCGGGGATACGAAAGGTCCAAGGACATCTAGAGTGTTTTGTCGACCTGAGAGGGCGCTTGGGTTGTGCTGAATGTAGTCCTCCGAAACGTGGTTGAGCAGGGCCTTGGTAGCGTTTCTGTCCACGTAGAAAGCCTGAATGAATTCTCCCAAAATGACTCGTTGTTCCTCTGGTGTTGCTGAGCGAGGCGGGCAATAAGGAGCCGATCCCTGGCGACGGTGTAGGCCGGCAGCGTCGGTGGCCCAGGCGAGAGCGCTGACGCCTACAGCGAGTATCGAAGAGGCGCGCATGTTTTCTGTCGGTATTTCAACGAGTGTGGTGGACTAGTTCGTGTGATGGAACCAGGTCGATCTAGAGGAGGTGATCATCAAGTGAAGGAGTTGTGGAATCTGAGTTACTTATACTCTGAGACGGAAACCAGGCGCAACAAGTGCCGAACTTCAAATAGATGAAGCAGTGCTGACCAAGACCTTTAGAAGAGAACAATCGACGGGAGTTCATCCTAACTGCGCCACGTGCTGCAATGCTAAGGAAGTCTATTCTGGTGGATCCTGGTCTGATATGATATCGACAGCAATAACTGTGATGTTTTCTGCTAGTGAGTCAGGAGTTATAGCGAGGGCTTCGCCTAGAATTGTTCCTTGATTTGCAGCACTCGTCTTCATAATTGTCCTGCCTATTTCGTTCGGTTGATTGATGCTTGAGTTGCATTGAAGAACACAACCACTCTGCTAGTTGCCAATCTGGAGATGCTTCCGCAACTTAATCTGTGGCTTTTGGCGCAAGAACGCAGACTTGGGGCCTGACAATGAGGGATACCCTGTTGAAGATCCTCAGGCGGTCGGCACTGTGCCGAGCTAGTTCCATGGTAACGCATGGCTCTAAGGTTTGGATTGTGGAACCACGGACGGCCTCCCGGTTTAAAACCCCGATGCCTATCTCCCCAGGTTACTAATTATGGTCGCTTACAAAAGGATTAACGGCTGGTATCAAATTGATTCCGATTTGTCATGTGTACTATAGTAAAACAGAGGAACGGCAGTTAAAAGAGACTCATTTCCAACGTAATGTTACGGTCAGCTGTAGCGGTCGTAACACGTAACCCCTTCCGATAGTCTTGACACAACAAATAGGAAATCACTCAAATGTCCGTAAAGGTCACTACAGGAAATGAGAGAACTATTGAATAGGAGCAGTCGCAAGCCTTGTCTACTGCATTGAATGCGTTCATTTCAAGGCAGACTTGGCCGCGACATTCATTAAATCCAGGTATTATGGGTAAAAGCTGCTCAGTAGTATCGGGTATTCTTTCTTGGCGAGTTCCCGACCTGAACGCCATTGTTTACACCCGAAGGCCGGCCATTTTTTATTGCGACTCGACAAAAAAGTGCAATACAATTGAAGCATGTAGACGTCCGTATCTCATGCACGAGTGTGGCGTGATTTCAAATGACTGTGCAGCTGAAATAATCCAGAAACGAGGGCCTGACGAATTTTCAGTTTCGCTGTATTGCGGGTAGCATAGCATCCGGTATCTCATGGCGGAGTACCTGATTATAACATCAATTCTCTTGTGGAGGGTTTAAGATTCGAGATGCCGTACTTTGCTCATTTTTTACCCATAAACTCGGGCTTAGGCTGATCCGGCATGAGGCCGCGGGGCGTCATCGCTCGCCAAGCTCTGCGTACGCAACTGTGCTCTGGACCTTTGGAAGAATGATGTACGTAGGCTAGCTGACATAGTCATCCATGGGCACATACTGATCCCTTCTCAACGAGACCGTGCAAAACAATTTGTGGGCTTGTGTTCCTCCATCTTGGCTGAGAAGTCCAGTTTTCTTAGCGCTTGCATAATGCTCTTCCACCATTGATGTGGTCGCAGCAGGTCTTGGTCGGGCTTGGCCACTTTTGTTCCATCTGAAAATCTCTGCGTCTTTTGGCAGTCAACAAGCCAAGTACTACAGCCAATAAATGCCAACGCTGGGCCCATCGACTTCAACCAATTTTGACGTCTGATTTCCGCCAAAACTCCAGTTGCCCAGACTTGCTCAGAAAAGCCGAGCGAACGTCTCCGCACTTGCATCCTTCTCCTTGAACACACGTTCAATATGTCAAACAGAAACTCATGTGATGGGATGTCCAGCTTTCAGCTGCTCATTCGACTGGGTGCGCTCTGGAACGAATGATATAAAACCTCGACCCATCAATTTTGGAGCGATGATAGTGTTCATAGCCAGAGATATTTCTTCTGCAGTTTGCTTCAGGAATCCCACGCGATTTCTCAATTTATTGGCAAGATGGGCAAATCTTTGATCCAGAAGATCGTCAAAAATGAGGCGATGAAGCAAGATCCCCCTGAGATTTATGGATGGCGAGTCTACGCTCTCGCATGCTCGGCTTGTTTTGGTGGCCTCATATTTGGTATTGATATAGGTTGTTGTTGTTGTTGTTGTTGTTCTATTTTTCGACGTTAGAGCTAAGCTTAGATTGCTCCCTAGGGTATACATTATATAGGGTAAGCCTATATATCTATAAATCTACTGTATACTATTCCCACTCCTCAAATTAAGCGTCTTCTAGTTAATCGCCTCCTGTATATAGTGTTTCTAAGCTTAGAGGCTACTTTAAGCTGAGAATAGTATAGGTGTCCTCTGTTTCTAGCTTATATTACTTAGTTGAGGCTAGTACTATAGAGGTCTAAGCCCTACTACGCTAAGGCTAGTATTATTATAAAATCTAAGTAGGGGGCCCTTAGTTAGTAGCTAAGGCTAGGGCTTAGGCTACTTATAGGCCTCTAAAGAAGTAAAATTACTTATAGCTTACTATATTTTATTAAGAAAACTAGGATTTTTTTAGAAAAGTTAGTAAGTTAATTTTTATATTTTCTTATAGTAATTTAAATTATTTAGGCTAAAAAATTAAAGTAGAATGAGGTGTAGTAGAGTTTAAGAAGGTTATTAGCTAAAAGGTCTATATAAATAGACTATTTAGTAGTTTTTATTAGAACAGGTATAAGCGTATTCAGGGGCGTAGTATATGCGCCTATATAGTATAAGGTTATAGATAGGCTTATGTTATAATAAAAGGTGATAATCCTAAGTATTTATAGGTATTTAATTATATAGATAATAATAAGGGAATTAATATATTATAATAACTCTAGTTATTATTAATTATATAGTTAGTAGGTTTCCTCCTCTAGTAGGGAAAAGTGAGGGGAAAGATAATCTAAAATATAACCTACTAAACTACTAATTATATAAGGTACTTATATAACTATACGTATTATATAATTAATATTATAGTTATAGGTTATAATAAATAGAGTATTTTTATATAAGGTTTAATACCTTAAACTTTATTTATTTATTTTATATAGAATATTAAAGTAAGTTAAGCGTTATTATTATTCTTATATTATTATTATTATTATAAAAGAATGTTATATATTAATATCCCCCCTTAAGGTATATACAGCTAATTTATAGTATATAGCTTACTCACTTAATATATATATACGTTATAGGTATAAAAAACTTAAAAACCTCATAGGAAAAATAAGAAAAATATTCCTATAATATATATAATATGTTTATAACTAGTTAAAAAACTCTTATTAAA